ACATGTGTGACGGAAATGATTTATTTGCATCAAATTAACAAAAATAAGGACCCAATTGAGACGCAAAAAAATAAAGGGACCTATTTCAAATTCTGAACAAAAATAGGAACCTATTGAGACATTAAACCTAACATAAACTATTTTCGATATATAAGAAATGTTGCAGATATTGAAGGTTTAAAAGTAGTATGGTTTCTGTCATAACAAGGAAGAAAGAAATCAACAAATGACAACAGAAGCAGATGTAAGGTTCATTAAATAAACGTGAAAAATACGAGGATTGTTCTTGGTGGAACAAACTCTCAAAATAAAAGAAACACAGAAACCGAAATTGTGAAGAAAATAGCACATTTTTTCCCACTAAATTCTGCATGATCGAAACAAAGTGTATGTTCAATGACTCAAGCCTCAACCAAGATAGAAAGAGTCAAAGAATTTAAAAGAATGCAGCCTGATGAGCACAATCAGAAGCATTTATGGGTTCTTCTAATTTTTCATTGTTTTTTTATACATACTTTTCTAACATTAAACGTAATACGATTTATTATTAAAAAAGTTAAATAACTTTTATTTTTTGTTTTCATTTTAATTCTCATTTTTATTTTACTTTATGGAAACGAAGGATTTTAATTTGGTAAAAAGACCAGTTTATAAAAATAATATATTTAAAGGATTAATTAAATCATGTTAAAAATATCTATTTATCAAAAATGTACATTTTAACAACGAATTAAAACGAAATTAAACTTATGGAGTCTATCTATATAAATAAAATAAAATTTAATAATGATTTACAAAACAACGATTATGTTTTAAAGAGATGGAATACATTTTTTTTTTCCTTTTTTCTTCAAATATTTTTTTACCGACACATATATAAGTGCTTAAATTTCAAATCTGTCTTTTTTTTTTTAATTTGAACCCAATCCGTCTCACTTCACAAAAACATGTTACAATAAACTCTCTTTAAAAAATGGCATAACATGACATCCTATCATTTTAACTCCCAAAATTCAGAATTTATAGATCTGTAATTCAACATTATTCCTATAATAATAATAATAATATATAATATATAATATAATAGTGAAAAGGATTTGGCCAGATAAGGTAGGTACTGAAAAATAATAAAAAGAAACTCTTTCGTCACGTTTATAATAATTAAAAAACATGCTGAATAACTTCATAATATACTGTGGTAGGTACCAACACGTCCCTCGTTCACTTTGATGACCTTACGAACACTGATTTTTTTTTCCTCTTTAAAACACATTGATTTTAAAATTACTAATATAGCATACTTTGTTTCATATTTACAAAGATATCACACTTTTTATTTTAAATTAGAATTCAGTTTTCGAAAACCAAATTTTGATGTTCATTTTTTGTAATCGTGATCAAATACTAGTCAGAATTTAATTTTTCGAAAATCAAATTATAATCTATTTTTTTTTATCATAAATAAAAGTCAGAATTTAGTTTTCGAAAGATCGAATTCTGAACTAAAATAAAAAGTGTGGTATAAAAAACACAAACTATGTTATATTGGTAATTTTAAAATCAATGTGTGTTAAAGAGGAAAAAAAATCTACGAACACTAAGCTCATTCAAGCTAACATTAATAGAAAACGTAACAGCACCAAACAATATGATTAGGAGAATCGAGCTTCTAATTGCAAAATCTAAATCAACCAACTCTACAATGGTTAGAGAGGAGGAGCTGAGGAGACAGATGAAGAGACAACTGTGTTTGAATTATTATTATTATAATTAATATTGGCACACCCTTCAATGCACCTTATCATCACTGATTCCCATTCAAAAGTTAGATGATAATAAAGGCAATTGACTGAATCAGAATTTCTAAAAGCTTCTGATTGAACATGAAATTTTGAATTCGGTTTGTACTTGATTAAAATTTCTTATGATAATCATCAAAATTTAAATTTCTTTTAATAAAAAACATCCTAAAAATTTAAATTTCTTTTTGCATATAGACTTACAAATCCCTATCCAAACATTCTCGTTCAACCGCAACTATTCACAGTCAATTTTCATACTAAAAATAATCTTTAAAGACATTTTGCCTGCAGCATTGTTTTCTCAATCCCCAAACGCTTGCAAAAACATCCAAGTAAGAACTTAATAATCACTTTTATTAGCTTAGTAAATTTGACCGACCAAAACGGGCGTGAAATTTTCCACAAAGCAGACGAAGAAAAGGTCAATGATCAAAAGTCAACGTCGTGAACCATCACATTTGACCATGAATCTGTTTTGAAATGAACATATACGTAACCATAAAAAAATTTCCATGGACCCTGCTCACTAGTTTTCCATGAACATATACACAGAATCACTAAATATTTTTGCCTCCGCATTTGTCTTTTAAACCTAAACAGGGTCACTCTTATTTCCAAAATGACAGAAAAAAAAACATAAAGACAACTACCAAGTTCTTCGAAAAATGCAGGGCAAGCGCTACAGCAGTAAGAAAAAAATTGCTACCAGGGTGAACTATAAGATATGATAAACAATAGACAGTACACTGCAAGCTAAAAACACAAATTTATTATGATTTTACGGATTAAAGTTCCATGATGTTCCAAAATATTTCAAGATTGTTTCTCATTTCTTCATTAAAAGAACCACAGTGTGAGCCGCTATACTTCTATTCTCTCCAAGGCTGTCTACCTTTTCATGAGTTTTTGCTTTGATATTTACTACAGAAGAGTCCACTCCAAGCAGTGCAGATAAGTTGGCTTTGATAGTGTCCTTGTGCGGGCTTAGTTTTGGCCGCTGAAGTATCAATGTAGCATCTAAATTTCCAATTTCATAACCGGCTTCGTGCATAAGTCTAACCTGTAAAATACCACAACACAGATTAGAAGTTGCAGATAAAATATCCGGAAGTCGGATAACTTATCTTCAATCATATTCCTAATAAAAATATTTATAATAATCAAAAACGATTTCGTTGCACAGCCAATCGGCCATCATGTAGCAAATACAAATCAAACCAAATGGCATGAAGTAATCAAATTGTGAATCATAAATCAAATTGAACCATAGGATTCTGAGATACAATGACAAATAACTTCATACCGATAATCTATATTGACAAAAAAGATGCTTAGATACAAGTATCACAACAAAGATAAGCAATAACTGAATTGTGAACTTTCTCTATTTTAGAAGAATGAGACGGACAAATAGATTGTGTCCATGACTGATTTAGCATCGGATCAAGTCAAATGTGGATTTGCTTTTTACATCCAAGCCAAAACAACTAAGAATAAGTTCTATTTTTTAAAATCTAAAGTTTGGATTGGGGTTCTAAATGCCAAACCACATTTCTATTTTTCAAATCTGAAATGTGGATTTGGGGTTTTAAATGCCAAACCAAACTTGCACGCATATCATAACAAAGTGTGAACCTTCAGAAAGAAAAAGTTGACTAAGAATAAGGTGTGATCAAAAGTTCTCCCTCTTTTCCTTACCAATTCATCACTGTATTGAGTGATTCAAAGTCCTATGTGATTAGTGCAGAGTTGAATCGTCCGAATCAGATACTAAAAACTATGCATGTAAAAACTAATAAAAACAGGTAAATACAGAGTGGGAAATCAAGTAGCTAATCATAAATTCAAAACAGGAAACCGTTTTCGAGGGAAATATCAGTACTTATGTGATAGAATTGAACAGAATACACGAGGTTTCATTGCATGTCGTTTTAAAAAATTTAAACAAGAAGAAATAGTGTCATTCCATCATGCTTCCTTTCGTTCCCTTACACCATACTTAAATCCAAGATACCACTTAAGTTCTAACTCCGCATACTAACTTAATAGGGATGCTTAAATTAAAAGGCCCTTTAATTCACTCCCAGGAAAAAAATTGAATTCAAATCAACATTAATACAACGGAAAACAAATGCCCAAATCAAGAATCAGTTAGTTGTAGATAAAATAAAAGTAGAAAAAAGAAGAAATGTTTGTCGTATAATACTCACAGATTCTTTGATGAAGACTGAAGAGTCACAACCCTTCCACTTAGGATCAGAATCAGGAAATATTTGCCCTATATCAGGAAGACCTAACGCCCCCAAAATAGCATCAACGACGCAGTGAAGCAGAACGTCCCCATCGGAGTGAGCCTCGCAACCTCTTTCGTGGGGTATGTTAATGCCGCCGATGATTAACGGGTAACCGGGTTCCAAGCGATGGAGGTCGAAACCGTGACCGACCCGAAAGGGGAGAACCTTGGAAGTTGCGGCGGAGGGTGGAGAGTTGTCAACTTGAACGGAAGGGGTTGGGATTGAAGCAGCTGAGGCTGAGGCTGAGATGTGTCTGAGACGGAGGCTGGGAAGGAGGGTATTGTTTTTGCAAGGGAAAGAGGCAAATAGGTGAGGGGATTTAGGGTTTGTTGTGAATGGAAGGAGGATGGAAGATGCTGCCAACGAAGAAGCTGCCATAGCTTTTGAAGCTTAGAAGTGTCGGATCTGGTCTAGATTGAAATGGGAACCAACAAACAAATTCAGACGCGACACAAGTTTGTGTGAGTGGCTCACAACAACACTGTCCCATATATTATGTTTCTATGTGGCATGTCTGAGAGTTACTAGCAGCCTGTAGGGGCGGCTCAGTTCCACAAGTTAGACTTTGTGTTTAAAAAATAAACAAAGGGATCAATCCGAGATATTATCTGAGTTAAATATTGAATTTTACTTTGACTCTTATATTCTACTTCTCCATATTTCTTTCTTTGATTCTTTCTTAGAAATTACGTTTAATTAATTTATGATGTTTTAATTTTGGTCCTTTCTAATATGTTTTTTTCATTTTTGGTTCTTCCTATATTTTTTTTTATCTCCATTGTTAGCACGGTTCAAAAATAATTACACGGCAATTAAGCTCTATGTTATTATTGAGTTAGATTAGATATCAGAATGATCTATGAACTAATATCGCATCACTTATTATTTTTTATCAGAGAGAGAAATAATTTAAGAATAGAGTTTACGTTTTTTAGGATCATGTTATACGAAGTGAACTATCTGAATATATCCTGATCAACCTAATAATCTTTAAGTATTATTAAAATGTAAAATTTAAAAACCAAAAACATCTATATATATATATATATATATATATATATATATATATATATATATATATATATATATTATATTCATTCTCATTTTCGTATCTATTCCTATTTTAAATTATTAAAATATTTTAAATTTATTATATAATTTAAGAAGATTATATTAAGTTCTATCTAATCTTTGATTTCTAAAGCACATTTCTTCATATTTATTATTTTATATAATTATTTAAATTTTATCTTATATATATATATATATATATATTTATTTATTTAACATTTAAATAGTTATAATTTCTTCCTTAACATATGATATTGGGAAAAAATTCTTTCATTTTGAAGTTAAATATTGATAACATTATGTTTGTAAATTTTATTTAATTAATATTTGATACAAATATTTCATAACAATTTAATATAAAAGTAAGGATAAAGATGAAATTTTATTTTAAAAATAAAGATAAAATAGCTAAAACAGCATTCAATTCTGTTATCGTAAGAAGCTATAATAAATAACTATAATATTTCTCATCAAACAAATTATAGAATAGTTTATTATTTCTCTAAACAAAATTTGGGCCTGCCAAACATTTTATTTTTGGTAAGTGAGAATCTTTATACATTTGAGTTACGCAGAAAAACCTCCGTTTTTTATTTAGCTTTGTATTTTACAGTTAAGACATATATTTAGTATAATCATACGTAATCGGATTGTACAATTTTTTTAGCAATATACTTCCCCAAATAGTCATATCCATGAAAGTATAGAGCCTCGATTTCAGCTCTCCTTCCTCTTTGAATCATTACGGCCACTTCATCCTTGTAATTATCCTGTCAAACAACATTTTGTTAAAGTAAAACGCGCTTTGGTCGAAGATAATAATCTTATGTTAGGCTCAAGGATCTTGATGGACATCAATTTTAACATAATGCTTGTATAGATCGGTTCTTGTAACGGCCAATATGCATATACAATCAGAATCATTGGAATCATTTGGAATAAATCAGAAGGTACGAATCACAATAGCAACGTATGTCAAAATGTTTTGTACAAGAAATGAATTTAATCAATTGAAATAAAAGATGTAATAAACATAAATCACTAAACAAAACTCGAGGAGGCAAATGATACAGTAGGGGCAAAATTCAGAGGGGGTTCTGGATAGCTTACCTGTAATATTCCTGAGGACATCAAGCTTCGAGCAATTTGCAGATCCTTTGGCTTCAATGGAACGAAAGATTGATCAGGCACCAAAGGTAGATCATTACTCCGCAGTCCTAACCACTTGACGTTGCAAGCTAGATAATGCATATGAAAACCTTTCTTAAGTTTCTTTTCAACACATCAGAGCTTCTATACTTTTGTTAAAACGGGATTATTCAACTACCGTATCTGTAGGCCTCTAGGCCCATTGCTACACTTCCAAATTTGAAGGTGCATAGAATGGCTAATCCAGCTGGATTCCTTTATAAGTTTAAACACGGATAGAACAAAATGTTACATTTTTTAACATAAAAAAACAGAATGTCTTTCTGAAACATTACAGCGGGAAGTTATTATCGGTACAAAGACCAGGAATTATACCAATCCACCAAAGCTAAAATTGGCAAGTCTGGAAAAGCTCGATTGATCCGATAAAGAAGAAATCTGCATTTGAACTTTGGCGTTTCAGTTACTAAAAGCATCATATCAATGGATTAACACCACCATATATTACATGATAGTGTCTAGCATGAATTGAGAACTTTTATGAGATCCTGTAAGAGCTCAAAGATATTGAATTATCTATCTTGTAAACTGGTGTGCAGAGTACCTTGTGGCCATGTCTGGATAGCCTTTAGCAGTGATAAGAATGCTCGGAATTTGATGAAAGAACCGATCCTCAGTAAGCCGCTGAAATATTGCGTGCTAAAAAGAGAACCAAATATTATTGTATCAAAAAGTATTGTTCAGCGAAATTAGGAATTTGAATAAACCAAACAACCTCTAACAAGCTCACCTTTTCAACTATTATAATGTACCGAGCATCTGCATGTAGAACCAATCTCTGTAACAAATTCAAGTCACCAGAAATTGCAAATCCAGAAGAACCACACAAAGAGCAATCAACAACCTCTTTGCCCGGTTCCTGTACAAAAAAAAATCATTTACAACATTTCATCAAACAATTCGTATAAAATATCCTAACCATGAAATACCGAAATTGTAATATCCTCGAATGAAGTATTCATGAGATACCTGCAAAGTCAGACGGCCAGCTATGAGTCCTCGACTGGAAGCCATGATTCCAAGACTGTATCGGCTGCACCGAAGCAATGCTACTAGATCTGTTTGACTCAAATCGATTTTCCAGTTAAAACTTCAAAATTATACGAAAAAATAATAGAAAGATAAAAGAAATAATATTTACTAATTAGTTAGAAGTAACATAAGCCTAATTAAAATTAGATTTTAGATAAACTAAATGAGAAATCTATTAATTTATTAACGAAACACTAGTTTCATTTTATTTTTTCTTATAAATGATTATCCAAAACGAAACGACACATTAGTAATAACCTTGGATTGTCCTGTTAACATGCGTTTGAGAGGGAAACAGGTGTGGCGAATCACAGAGCAACTTGTAGAAGAGTTCCCTCTGCGTGACCCGCTTTTCCTGAAGCAATATCTGATAGCACATCTCCATCACCTTCCACACTGCAAGTCAAAGATTAAATTTATATCTCAAACACAAAAAATATTGGAAAGAAAAGAACAAGAAAAATGAAAAACTACATTCGTAATCCGTACCCCTAACGAAGGCCTTTGCTGCATTAGGTCTCATCAGAGACCTTGTGGATATGGAATTGGAGAGAAAAACACGTGAAAGTTCTGTCAAAAGGCCATGATTCACTCGACTATTGCTATATTTCCTCTGAATCTGTTTGTTTCTTAGGATTATTAAGATAAATTTGAAATACATTCATATTTGTTTTCTGATAGCAAATAACTAAGAACAAGATAACAGTGACAAGAACAAGGCAAACTAGTGTTTAAAAGTTTATTCAAGTGAAACAGAGAGATTATTGCTTATGATTAATCGAAATTGTACCAAAGGCAAATCTGAGATGGCAGGGTTTGATGCATTTAATATTTTGAGAAAATTGAGGACAGAAACTTCAATTCTCGCTCGAACCTGCACGCGTCAAAACGGAACTGGCACGATCAAGATCAACAGAAAAACGAAATCGGATGGATTGTGAAAGAGTATTATTACCTGAGCAGGAGGGACGATATCGGCATTACAGAGCTCTTGATCGGAGAAGAATTTTAGAGCCGAATTTTGAAGATCTTCCATGGGAGCGTGAAATTTTCAGAATTCCATAACTGTATAATTGGCGCGCAATGCCTGAATAAGATAGTTTTGTGTCAAACACAACAATTTTATGTCGCTTAACTACACATATAACAGACATTTTAGAGAAAATAATATATTTTATTTTACTAATTGCTAGTAAATTTCCTTAACAATCTATGTTTATTTTTTATGTATTTTTGTTAAAATACCTTAGAACTAGCACGTGGTGTTTTAAGTTCTCATATGTATGGTTTTAACTCCATTTTTTTACTTTGTTTAGGCAATTTAATTCCTAGTATCCCTGGTTTCTTTCTCATTTAAGCTTATTTTCTGTTCGTGACCTTGCTTGATGGTAATTAACGTAAATATGATCTTTTTCATTGTTAAAATATTGGGATTTTTTTTCATAGGGATAATTGGGGAGATTTATTATATATAGGTGTAAGTTGTCTATAATAAAAGTATGATATCACATACTAATGAGATTTTTGTACTCGGAATACATTTTGGAGATTTTTACCGAGATATTGTTTATATAAATTTTTTGTAAATATTTTCAATAAAAAAAAAAACTTTAAAAATTGATGTTTGTGAGTTTTTTTTATACATCACTTCAATTTATATATATATATATATATATATATATATATATATATATATAAACAATAATAGAATAAAAGTGACAAAATTTTATTTGATAAAAAAATTGCAACTATATAATATACAACATATATATTAAAAACATCACATTTAATCCAAAGTTCTTGAAATATTATATTTATAATTTGTTATCTACGTGTCAACATTATCATATTTACTAAATCTGAGATTTTGAACTTCTTAATAGTATTATAACAAAGTTTTATATATATTTATAGTAATCATAGATGAAATGAAGTTTGAATTTAAAATTGATGTTATCCAAACAATCTAAGATTCTCTTGGAAATAATTTAATGAAGAAAATATAAATACTTAAATGATTTTTATTTAACAGTCAATAAAAATGATAGAATAATTCTTTTAGTTTCAAAAATTACTAAAAAATAGAATTGGAACAAAAATTATATAAAAACAAATATACAAAAGGAAGAATCTGTCATTGTTCAAATAAGAAAAAGAAAAAAGAGTGCGCGCATCAATCGTTTTTCTTCCTTGTCGGCCCGCTGTTGTTTGTATAGGGTAACGGCAAGATTGATTCCATAGTCTTGTACATGCGTGCTCACACACGACACATCTTTCTGATTTCACAATGGACAATCTTCATCAAAAGGTGATTCTTGCATCGAATTGCAGGAAAATAACAAAATCTTGTTTGAACTTTGAAGCAAATTAAAGCCTTGAAGCACAAAGTCACAATGATTATAGATAGCCAAACCTTGGTTGACATTTCTCCTATTTTCCTTGTAATTTCATCTTTGACTAAAACTCATCTCTATCTCTCCATCTCTATTTCTACGTTTTCCTATTTATATGCGATCTGCAGTTGGAAGAACTTGCACGCGGGATGGCTTGGGATTTGCATGCTATTGTGGGATGTACAATTGCCCCAGCCACCAATATGGACAACCCGAATCTCATTCTTTCTCAACATTTTTGTGCTGAACAAAATGACCTACTTTGCAATTTTCAGGAATTCTCAGAAACCAAAACGGTGCTTGATGAATTGGAAGAGATTTATAAACCTTTCTACCCCCAAATTCGTAACAGTTCCATCATTTCAAGTTCCCAACCCGTCCCTGATAAAACTGTCAAAAAACTCAAACCATCAAACACCGCAGTCTCTAAATGCAGAAAAAGGTAAGCCATTCATCAAACTATACATAAATAATTTTGCTTCGTTGCATCAGAAGTCAACATGTTTATCACTGTTAATTTATCAGCAAGAAGAAGCTGAAGAGCAAGAGGGAGGTGAAGCATATGACAGCTGCAGATGGTGTGTCAGACCCATGGGCATGGCGTAAATATGGACAGAAACCGATAAAGGGATCACCATATCCACGTAGCTATTATAGATGCAGCAGCTCCAAAGGATGTTTGGCTAGGAAACACGTGGAACGTAGCCATTTGGATCCCGGACTTTTCATAGTTACCTACACCGCAGAACACAGCCCTCACCAAGCTCGAAAAAACTCAACTTCCACCATTGCACCTCCTCCAACAACGAAGCGACATGGCTTAAAAGTTTCCCTATCATTTTCTCCAAACTTTCTTTTGTTTAATCTACAGTAAATCTTTCGTTCTTCAGTTTGCTCACTCCCGAAAACAGAAATAAAAGGTTTTAGATAGTTGACAGCTAAAATCATTCTAAAATTAACAGTAATCTTTTCAAATTCTGGCATTTATTTAATTGAAGATATTTACAATTTTGAAAAATTCAAAAAGACTATTCTTTTAAAGAAACAGAAAGATTAGAAAAAGTATGGTTTTTATATGAGTGATGATATACAAAAATTATGCTTTTCAATCTACACCTATTACACCAACAAAAAAAATATTTTTTCTTTAAAATATAAAATAAATTAAGATGGATCCATTAAAAAATCAAAATATTTTAATAAATATTAAATGAATGATGGAATATAGAAAAGTATATGTTTATAGTTCCCTTTAAGTTAGTGTTGTGAAGATATATATAGATATCGATCTCCAAATCTAGAGCATCCACAGTTATATTGTTACTGCTTTTGATGTAAATCATAATTAACCAATTTTTTTATAAAAAAAATTATATTAAAAGAACTATTTACTACAATCTGTTTACAATATATTTATACCAATACAACAAAAACCTCATTAAATATATTTTCTTCTCGCTTCTTCCTCGTGCCATTGTCCTACATTTTTGTCATTCATAATTAACCGAAATTAATCATGATCCGGTCCACTTAAATTATAGACTCCATGTGTTTCTTAAAGTAATAATATGAATAATCTATGACTAAGGATCATTTATTGACTCCAATTAACAAAAACTTTTATTTAATTAAAAGATAAATAATCAGGAATTTGCTATTAAAAATAATATAATCACTTAAGCAAAATCATCTATTTTTTTATTAAGAGATATATCTATACACTGATTTCAGCCTTTAGTTCAGTTAGATTACAAGTCAAATATGATTGTCTTATAACAGCGCATAAAAGTGTAATTTCCATTTATTTTGTTAGGGAATGACAATAGTACAATGATAGGGTGATTTGAATCTAAAATACCTTTGCAATTATTTAAATGTATAAATTTCTATGAATCTTGAATTTGGAGTTTAGGTATTGGCAAGCAAAGCAGACACTGAAGCGACGAAAGCAGCATTCATGTACGTGGTAGGCTCGGTGTGGGAATAGTCAGATCTTGCATCATTGAAATGGTCATTTGAATCGGGGCCTCCAACAATGGCACCCACATGAGTATTGGGATTTGGATTAGGAGAATTGTAATAATCTGATAGACCACCATTGCAACCCACCTTCGCCGGATGAACTTTGATTGAAGGTATGGACGAGGCTCTGTGATGTAATTGCTTTGGGTATTTGCTGCCAAATCCCACCATATACGACATCTTCATCGGATTGCTTCCTAATATGTAGTCCACCTGCATTAATTAGAGTAATTAAACTCTTTTCTTTATCAATTCATGTTATCAATAGTTATTCTATATATGAATTTGAGTTGTTTGAAAAAAACAAAGAACACTTTCTGTTGAAAGAGTTTCGTGTTCGTGTATATATATATATACCTGTGTTTTCGCAAAGGCTCTAATTTGAGACGGTGTGAAATGCGCGGAGCCACAATTGATTCCGTTGATGTGATTTCTGTTTAAGATTCTAGAAAAAATGAACAGCACCATGGTCGAGCTCGTGGTATATTGCAAATTGCTACTATCTCTAGTAAACAGAAGACCACCTGAGTAAACAATGAACCTCATTCCATAAATCACATCACATCGTTGAATGAAACAAGTAAAACCATTTGTCCAATCTGTAATTACATAATATCTTTTCCACCAATAATAATACCAGTCAGGATCAGCAAACACAACAATTCAAATAATTAAGCTATTTTGAATATAATTATTAGCTATATATAATTCGAGGAAACTGAATCAAATTAAATTATGATCAAAAATATTGAAATTAATAACTTTAAGCAACTTATTTTTAAATTTTATAAATTATATTGATAGTAATTCAATTTTTAAAAATATATAAAAAAATTCAATTTAATCTTTTGTATGAAAATAAGTATCCGTTTGTTTCAACATCTTTAGGTATACATAAATGTTTATACCAGGAGTTGTTTTAATCTGTCGAGAGCTACTTCCTGGCATCACAGAGCATATAAATGACTCAGCGTCACTCTTAATCTTGGTCAGTTCTTTCTTTCCACCGTAGAATTCCTGGAGAAAGAAATTATAAATGAATAGAATTATCATCTCTTAATAAAACTTGTCCAGTTAGTATAATAGGTATCTGGTAATTTATTAAATATGTGAGACCTCGGTTAGTAATGTCTGAGCCCCAACAAATTTGTTATCCCAGCTGAATTCAGACACTGCCTGGCTCGATCCTTGGTTACCTATGATGTAGGTCAGATACTTGCTTTCTCCACTTGCCTTGTACAACCAAGAAGCCGCCCATAGCAGTTCATCCTTTTTTTTGTACACATTACAAAAATCTCAATGAGTTAAAGATTAATCAAAATTTTGTTCTAGTTTTGAACGTTCCGAGGACAAGCATCTTGTACCTGGTAACCCGAGTACGAGCAATAGAATGGGCAAGAACCGGAATAAGAACCTCTGTTCTTGTCTGCAAAATCAAACAGCTGCATGCAAAACATATATAGTCAGCATATATAAACATGTTATGAGTAAATTGTGTATCAACAATCTAAACATCCTTCAATTGTGCTAGCTGGAAGCA